ATTCATTCATTCATTCATTCATTCATTCATTCATTCATTCTAATAATAATATATTCCTCTACCAAAAAGAACATCTGCAGGGACTTCTTTGTCAAAAGCTGAGTAAAGAAGGAACTGGATGTTCCTACCCCTGCAACAGATATGAATTAATCTGGAATCTATAGTATCATATCTCCAATAATAGAAAGAATGATCTGTAGATGCTTAGGGATTCAGTTAAGCAAGAGGCAAAAAGTAAGAAAACAGAGTTGTTAAAAGCAAATAAGTCTCCAACTCTTTTACTCCTGCTTGCAGGTATCCATCACTAACATTATATTGTGCTGAAGATGTCTAACAGCAACACCACACAGGAGACACTGGAAATAATGAAAGAATCAGAAAAGAGGCTGGTTGAGGAATCTTTGAACAAAACCAAATTTGTATCCAGGTCACCAAGCAAAGACGAGCTTGAGAAGGACGGGGAGGAGAGCAGTGTACGGCAAGAATCTCAGGTAACTGGACATAATGTCTTGTAGATAGCCAAACCAGTAGGTCCATCAAGGCCCACAACTGACTGGCTACAGACCTTGGACTTAATTTTACAATATCTTGGTCAGTTATTTTCAAAGCTGTTGCTGACTTTACTCCACTAGAGGCTCCATAGAACATATCTCAGTTTACCATCATCTGCTGCTTAGAAGTTTCCTGCTCACTTCAACAACTCATCTGCTTCTTCCCATCCCTGAAATTCCACCCAAAGCACTAATGTGACATCACCTCCTCCTTTTTACTTTTATTCAAATTCATCCTCAAAACCTGAAGCCTGCATCTCTGACTACAATAGAATACTGCTGCATTTGTTCACATATTCATCTTTTGTTACTTTGGCTGGCTTATTCCTGCCCTATTTAAATTTTTAATAATTCCTCGGGACAATTTTTTCTCTCTTTTTGTATAAAAGGGTTCTCCTTCCTCCCCTCCTCCTCCTCCTCCCATTTTTCAGAATTTCCTTTGTGCAGTCTAGACCAGAAATAGTTTATTCAAAGAACAAGAAATTAGGAGTTCTATTTAGTACTATTTATTAGAAAGGAAGTTAAGGTTATAACGCAAAAATTCCAGACAGTACCTTATTTTCAGATGAGATGACTTTATATAGGAAATTTATGGAGGAAAACCCCTTGTCTGTTTCTTCCTGCTTTTTTGATGTAAAGGCCTTGTTCTTTGTGAAGGGGGGACAGTCAACCTCTTTATTTTGGTAACTGCTAGTCTTCATGAGAAATCACACCAATGTTTAATCATCTATGGAGTCACATTGTTCACAGAGTTATGCACCCATTCCTTAAGTATAGTGCAAAGAAAGTAGTGTTAGAAATTGCATTGTGACTATTTTTTCTGAAATTATATTCACACTACCATTTGACTTTATGTGAGATTTGGTGGGCTTTCTATATGAAATCTCTTCCAATTCAATGTTGTTTTCCTCTTGTTGTCCCTAAGAAGAGTCCTCTTAGCTTTTTACATTACATTCTTTTCTACAGTACTTGGAAGAAGGTCTCAGTGGGTCTAGTAATTTATTCCTACATAAGTGTTTGGCACCTTAATAGAACCATGATGGGCTACTTCTTAATTCTAGTGAGCAAAACAATGAAAAAAAATACTCTAAGCCCAGAACCATAGTGTATTGGTATAGTGCCACCCCTGCTCAATATTATACAAAGCAATTAATAGAAGGGCCCCACCACAAGGACTTTGCAACTGGAAATTCAGTAGGACAGAAAGACAGTTGAAGGAGGGGAAGGGTGAAATTGGTCTTAATATGCAAGTTGCCAGTTTTGGCAACTGCTGCTACATGCATAGTCTTCATTTTAAGGATGATAAGTGGAGATTGGACAAAAGCTTGACAGAAATGTTGGGAATTAAATGTGGATTTAAGGGAAGGAAGAAGGGCACTGTGACTGGAAAAGAATTCAAATGAAGGTGTGTCTTTAAACCCCTGTAACTAAGTGATACAAGGTTTGTTTTGGGCACAGCATATTTCTTTACTTGAACTGCATTCTGTTTCTTCATTTGCCCTTTTGATGTTTAATTTGCTGTCAACAGATCTTTTTGGATTTTCTCTAAACATACAAATTAGCCGGTTTTCATTAGACTCTTAGTAAGACAGAGTGTGTCATGGAAATGACAGGCTGTGTAATTTTATGATGTGAAGTAATCAGCTAATGCCAAGCCCTTTGGCTGCTACATTTATTCCTCTTACAAGAGTTCAGAAACAGGCACTGACAATATCTTTCCTTTGCAAGAAAGTATTTCGCTCAGTAGAGAAACCACCTTCATTTCTCAGTATAATATGAAAATTTCTTTTAACAAGCTGGAAACTCTGTAGTCTCTTTTATTACTAATTGGATGAAGACAGAATGTTCAGCATTGTGCCAGTGTTAATCCTGAAAAGTAGCTGCCTCCTCCTTTGTATGCTAAACTGGTAGTATATATACTGGTTGGCAGAAATGGCAAAAAAGGAAGAAAGGAGGAGGATAGCCGTCACCAATCTAGTGCTCTCTATATTTTGTCTGGATGAAAATTTTGGGAGTTGTATTTCCATCATACTTGGACAACACAAAATTGGGAAAAACTAGTATAGGAAGCCTGGAATCCTAAAATTGAAGTGATCATTTAGGCCACTGAGTCCACCTTCCAAGTGCAGAATCCTAATTTAAATCACTCCTGACAGAGAGCTGTCTGACACAGTGTTTCTCAACCTTGGCAATGTTAAGACATGTGGACTTCAACTCCCAGAATTCTCCAACCAGCATGGTCTAACACTGATCCTACATCCAGTAAAGAGCAATTCTACCATTTCTCTGGGTAATTGGTTCCTTTGTCCAGTTGCGCTTGCTGGATTTCAGCAGCTATGCCATTCGTCATTCACCTATGGACAGAGAGGTAATTTCCCCAGGCAAACAGTGCACCTTCACTGTACCTGTCACCCCTGCCTCTTTAAACTTTGGGGATGCTTGGGAGGCACATCTGGATTATACATATTCATATCTCCTTTTTTTTTTAATAAATAGTTTTTATTAAAAGAAGAATTTTGCAAAGATTTTAAAAACTACAGAACCATAGAAGAAGAAATAGAAAAAGAAAAAGATTATAAAAGGGTAAAAGAAAAAGTGAAGAATAACAAAAAAGTAAGAAAAAGAAAGATATTTAAAGAAGCGACTTCCGATCTTCTTTGCAGCAGTTACAAACATAGCAATTACCATCTCCCTGTCCCATATTACATACCATAGTTCCCTTCTTCCCATAAACAAACCTTTTTAATTAATAAATCCCAAAATCAGCAGTTCATTTTTATCCATTTTCAGCAAAAAATCTATAAAGGGTTTCCAGTC